GAAGAATGGTCCCTGCACCCGGGGTGCTTCGTCACATCTGCCTGCGGTGGGGTATGCCAGACATGGATCTGCTGACCTCCCGCCTCAATCAGAAGGTGCCGAGATTCATAGCAAGAGCAAAGGATCCCTTGGCCGATGCGTCCGATGCTCTGGTGGCGTCATGGATTCATTATCCGCCTGATTTATGCCTTTCCCCCTCTCATGCGTCTCCCTCGTCTACTCCGCAGGATAAAGGCTGAGGGGATTCCGGTTATTCTAATATCTCCGGAGTGGCATCGGCAATCCTGGTACGCCGACGTGGTGAGGCTGGTCGCAGATGTCCCCTGGCGATTTCCATTGCATGAGGATCTCCAGTCCAAAGGGCTGATATTCCACCCTGCTTTACCATCTGGCTTTGATGGCTTGGCTATTGAAAGCCAGACGCTAAAGGATAGGCTGTTGCTTGCGTCTGTAATTCCCACTATGTTGAAGGCGTGTAAGTCTACTTTCCCAAGGAAGCACCTGGAAGGCTTACATTTCATATTGCAAGGCTGTGGGGTGGCATCCACTCTCCTTTTCCATTTCTCAGATTCTGACTGTTCTACAACGGGGTGTTGATCAGAAGCTAGCCTTGAGCACTATTAAGGGCCAAGTATCTGCTCTGCCGATCTTTTTTCAATGCCCCTTGGCTACACACTCTTTTTGGTTCTCACCTTTATTCTCGGGGTTCAGCATGTTGCCCCCCACCCCCGTGCGCCTGCCATTGGCTCCAAGGGGCCTGAACCTAGTTATCACGGTCCTTCAGAAACCACTATTTGAGAACATTTGGGATCTCCCCTTGTTCATGCTCTCTCAGAAGATAACTTTTCTGGTCGCCATCACCTCAGCAGGTGTTTGAGCTGGCGGCCTTGTCTTGTAAGTCTCCCTATCTGGTTCTCCATATAGATAAGGTGGTTCTTCGTCTGCCTCCCTCCTTTCTTCTGAAGGTGGTGTCTGCCTTTCACTTAAATGAGGACATTGGCCTTCCTTCCTTGTGTCCGCGGCCGTCCCATCCTAAGGAGTTTGCACTGCACTCGCTAGACGTTGTTTGGGCAATCCATGTGTACCTCTATTTCCTTTTGGAGGTTGGATTCGTTCTTTGTGATTGTGGACAGTCCGCAAAAGGGTCCGGCGGCTACTTCGGCCACTATTTCTCATTGGATCAGGCAGATGGTTTTCCAGGCTTATGCAATTAGGGGTCAGGTGCCTCCCTTCCCCATCATGGCACAGTCTACAAGGGCAATTAGTGCTTCCTGTGCATTCCATCATCAGGCATCCATGTCTCAAGTTTGTAAGGTGGCTACCTGGTCATCTGTGCACACTTTTTCCAAGTTTTACAAAGCTGATGTTCTGGCATCTTTGAATGCATGTTTTGGCTGCAAGGTTTTACAGGCTGTTGTCTGAGGTTTTCTGGGGCCTCTTACAGGGGGTTCCTTTGGGTGGTTGTGTGTTTTTCCTCTTATTATTGAGCTCCCTCGTTATCACACTACTTTTGGTACATCCCTACAGTCAACATTATAAAGGCTGTATCCGTCAATGAACAAAAGAGAAAACTGATATATAAATATATACTCCTGCGCCACAGAACAAACCCCTCCCACTAAAATATAAGATGCTGCTGTGCACTAGTGTAAACCCTAAATCATCAAATTAATCAAATAAACAGCGCAATACCCAACAAATGATACATAAAAAGAAAAATACTAGTATAAAAATTTAGAAGTGTCCAAACGGTGGAGCGTTTTGTTTGGAGAAAGGCAGTTGAAGAATCTTCTTAGTTTGGTGTGGTGGAATGGAGGTCTGTAGGCGTTAAGAGGGGGTGTAGGATCCCCTAAAAGGCTTAATATTCACCAATATCTGGTGAGTGCGATTTAATGTTGGTTTCTCACTGGTGGATGGTGGAAGCACTTAGTACAGAAGGATAATCACATTATAAATTTATTCGTTTTTGGTGAAGCACTTTGAAGTTGAAGTTGAAGTAAAAGGCTGAAGTTTCATAATGATAGATATATATATATATATATATATATATATATATATATATATATATATATATATATATATATATATTTTTTTTTTTTTTTTTTTTTTGATATTTTGATGGACACATTAATTTTGGACACTTTAAATCACATTATGAGTTTTTCATTTTATTTGGATATTATGTGAAATTTATTATTTTTTTTGTTTGTTGGACACATTTTATTTTGGACACTTCTAAATTTTTATACTACTATTTTTTCTTTTTATGTATCATTTGTTGGGTATTGCGCTGTTTATTTGATTAAAAAGAGAAAACTGGGGGTTTTTTTTTCTTACCATAAAATCCCTTTCTCTGAGTTAATTGACGGACACAGCATCCACCCCTCCTTTTTAATGTACTGCTTTGTAACGAACTGAGCTGCCTATCGCAGAGTGTAGGTTTACTACCAGTTAGGATTGCCCATAGGCAGTGCTTTCTTGTTCTTTTTTCTGCCTAGTCTTACTCCTGAAGGTGGCGATATAACCCTGCGGTCAAGATTATGAAGGCTGTGTCCATCAATGAACTCAGAGGAAGGGATTTTATGGTAAGTAACAAAAAAAAAATCCCGTTATTTCACACTGGATTTGCCAACTTATTTCACCAAGCTTCTGTTTCTCAACTTTGCTAGGCCACTCCCTGGTCTTCAGTTCACACTTTTACTTTTCTAACGTTGGGACCACTGAGGATGCTGCCATTGGCCAAAGTGTTTTGCAGGCTGCTGTGTGCATTTTTCTTTCTTCCTTTTGCTTGTTTTTTTGGGGGGGTTTTTGGGAGGGGGGTGCTGTTGGCCTGCTGCTGTTACCCTTTTTGATTGCTTTGGGACATCCCTGATAGGATTCTTAAAGCTGCTCTGTGTCCCATGATGTACGATTAAAAGAAATATTGGATTTTTGACTTGTCTATTAAATGTTTCTTGGGAGTACATCATGGGACACATAGATCCCTCCTCTCTGCTTGTTTTGGTTTATGGTTTGCTACAAAACTGAAGCCTTCCTGGTAGGGGAAGGGGTGTCCAATCGCCTGTAGGTGGAGCATAACCCTGATAGTAAGGATTCTTAAAATCACTCTGTGTTCCATGATGTATTCCAAGAAATGGATTTTACAGTTAAGTCAAAAATCCAGTTTCAATCCTATTCAAGTCAGTGTGCATGTGAAAGCAGCTTAGGATGAGTTATGATGCAGGCCAGGAGGTGGTCATAAGGATCTGTAAAATAAGTGTCAATGTATCCCAAAACTGATCTCAAACATGAGCTGAATGCACCTAAAAACATAATGTGCTTGCCTATCTGCGCAATCACTTTATCGGAGTAGGGTTTGGTGCCTCACTACTTAATCATTGCTTCTTACAAGCGTGCTTTTGTACTAATGTATTGATGTGACTTCATTTCAGGAGCTGAAGGATGAACGGATGAAAAATATTTACCTTAATGAAAAGGTTGATGACCTAGAGAAAGTAATCAGAGTATTCCATTTAATGCAAAATGAGCCTGTACAAGAAGAAGATGAACTTGCAGAACGCACTGAAAGTCTACAGCAAACAAATCAAGAGTTGAAGGTAATACCCTGTAGGCAAAAAAAACTTTTTTTTTTTTTTTTTTTTTTTTTTAATCTTTGCCATCTATGAGGCATTTCTTTCAGTAAAGAATCTTGTGAAACAACAAAACCTGTGTCTTTTTACAGGATCTTATAGTGACCATTTCCACAGTGTATGCTAATCAACATAATTTACTAAGCAATCTTTCAGTGGAGCTTCAAGATGAAGTTGAAATACAGAAGCACTCAATGAGTTCCGTAAAGGAGTCAATGTCTTCAACACATTTTAAAGCATTTGAATCCCTACAAACAGAATACTTTAAACTGAATTCTCAGATGCAGTCTCTGCTCAGGAAATTTAAGGTAAGTTAAACATTCTGCTGTCAAAACAAAATCCAAACTAGTTAAGCTGTGGCTGCCAAATTCTGCAGTTACTTTACCAGCTCGTGCTGACTGTCTACAATCCAAGCTGGAAATTGGCACACTGTCTTTTTAACTGGGTGCTTCTATTTTAACATTCATATATGGTATGTATGTTTTAATGCTGATTTGGTACTTTTTTTTTTTTTTTTTTATTAGGTCATATATAAGAATGCCGCTGTCAAGGAAGAACAGTACAGTGTGGTAAATGGCTATGAAAATGACTTGTGTGTAATACAGAAGAAAAATGATGAGCTGCTGCTGCAGTGTCACAGCTTAGAACAGAATGGTGGAAAGTGGTCTGAGAGTGCAGCAGAAGAGCTTAAATTTTCTGAACTTGAGTTCTTAAACCACCTAATCTTCAAGAAAATGGATGTCATAAAGGTAAAGCATAATCGGTTTGCTTCCTAAATAACTGGCTTTTGGTGCTATGTTCTAGCTCATGATGACTTTTTTTTTTTCTATACAGCATGTGAAAGATGGATTCTCCAATGTGCAGATCTCTCTGAATAGTGTGGAAGCAGACCTTATAGAAGAGGTGAAATTTAAGAAGAGGTTCTTGTTATGGCTGGAAGAGTTGAAGGGTTTACACTTTGATGCCAAGAAATTCAATGAGGGTATCTTTCAAGAAAACAGGAGAATTTCTGGTCTTGTCCAACTTTTATCTAAGAAAGTAAAGGTAAATTAGCTAAAAAGATTCACACTTTTATATACACGGTCTACCTTTCCTTCCCTCTATGTTTGAGTGAACCTAATTGTTTTACTCTTTAGTTGCTGACATAGTAGCATAGTGTGAGCAAAAAATCTTGGATATTTTATTAATACATTTTTATTAAAGGTAATTATCCAATCACGAGTAAAGCAGGACACCGAGACATATGTAAAACAGCTTAAGGAAGATTTACAGGAGAAAAAAGAAAAGCACAAAGAGCTATTGCAAAGAATGCAGCTTTTATCTCCATCTGGAGATTCCAACATTCTAGAAGAGGAAAATGCACGATTGTGTGAGAAATTGAAAAATCTGCAGGCAGAACTAAAGGTAATTTTTACTGAGACAGAAGCATCTTTTTATCTTTTTTTTTTTTTTTTTTTATTTGTTCTAAAGATGTTTTCTTCAGACAGATTCCTTGCTACTTTGTTTGAACTTGTCTCTTCATGGCAGCTATCTGGATTGGTGTTCTCTTATCCTAACTTTGGGAGTGCCAGATCCAGACCCCACTGGTATTGCATGCTTAACTTTGATAGTGACATTTAAGCACCTGTAGCTACCTCACTATTTGCACCGCTGGGCAGCTTTGAACTTCCTGCTTTCAGCAGGTTTTAACGCAGAAGGGGCTAGCACTGAGGAGCTGTGAACTAACATTCTGCACCAGGTGGAATGTTACATTCCACGCTTCTTACCACCATTCAATGTAGAGGACACGTAGCCCCACTGTTGCTTTGAAAAAGGCACATCTTTTATACCCTATGTTGCATCCAACCATGCGGCTGTAGCATGCTTTTATTTAGACAGAGGGTTTAGTCCCACTGCAGTGGGTGAAACCAGCTTGTGCTCTTCTAACAAATCCAGGAATGTTTACTCTGTACATTTTGAGGGCTCTGACATTTAATAGAATTCCAGCTGCTACACTATGGTTCTGGGGCCCCTGCCTTGTCATCACATAGGACTTTAGCACTGTTTTTCTGTGATTAGGTTTTCTTTGAGGCATCACAGTCTCCTGAAGGTAATAATTCTAAAACCGTGCAACGCTAGCATCAGATAATTATATACCTTATATCAAAACCATGTATTATTGACAATATATTATATGTAATATATGAATATAAACAAAAAGGTCCTCCACAGATAGTAATAAGTGTCCTTTGCTTTTAAGTGTGTGCCACCTTCTGTGTTCAAATTCAGTGGTGCTACATGCATATAACCACCACTGGATGTACTCTCACCTTCCTTTATTGACCCCACAATTTCGGTCAGACTGCGCTTTTGCCCCTTAGACGGAGCATTTTACATTCCTGGGTACTGCCGATATAAGTCTCCACACCTTTTATAATCATATGCTCCTTTAACTCCACTCCATTTAACCATGTAAACCGAAATACTGAAAAATAGTGTTTTATCCTTTATAAGATTTATTCTTAAAAAAAAAAAAAAAAAACAAAAAAAGTATATACATACTAGCAATAAAAAGGTGCTGAATCACAGCAGAGCGCAGTTAAGGAGCAAATGATTATAAAGATCTGGAGACTTAATCAGCAGGTCATTAAAGGTAGGTGAGCGTATATCTGGTGCGCGCGCGCACACACACACACACACACCTCGGTTTACAAAAAGACATTTTGGCCTAAATTTATGACTAAATTTGATTTTTTTTTTTTTTTTACTGGACATGTTTAATAGCAAAAATTCTAAAATATTGGGGGGTTTTTTCTCAACATTGTCGGTCTTTTTTTTTTTTTTTTTTTTATAGCGCCAAAAATAAAAACTGTACAGGCAATCAAATACCACCAAAATAAATCTCAATTTATGGGGAAAAAAGGACGTACATTTCATTTGGGTACAGCGTTGCCTAACTGTGCAATTGTCAGTTAAAGTAAAGCCGCGCCGTAACGCAAATAATGGCCTGGTCAGGGCGGTAAATCCTCAGGAGGGCAAGTGGTTAATGAATAGAAAAATGTGACCTTGTGTTGGAAGTAAACACCAAAATCCTGAATCAGTTGCAATGCCAGGAGGTACCTGCTTACACCTTGTGTGTATCTCTCTGAGCCCCCCTGAAGCCAACAAACCCAGGTTGTGCAGTTTGCAATGGTAACCTTCAGCTTTAAAAAAAAAAAAAAAAGTATGTAAACTCTAACAATACATTTTTGTTATTTACTCCCTTTTGGTCTGTTAACTATATAATTGAATGTTCTTTATTGTATCTGTTATACAACTGCAAAAATAGCTGTTAACCCAGTAGGAAACCTTGTGAGTTTACAAATTCCTGTTATCAATTAGCATTGTCCCCTGAAAGATAGGTGTTATGTACTTTTAACACACTCTCTGTCCTAGGATGAAGAGGCTGCTCAGTATGGTTGTCACCCTAGGACAGGAAGTGAATAAATGGCAGGGTTTAACAGGTTAAAATTAAAAAATAAATAAAATATGCCGTTGCACTTCTAAAGACCTCTAAGCTGCAATAATATCATTTTTTTTGTTCTTGGGTTTAGATAAATTTAACGCACTCTGCTGTCGATGTTGAGCTCCCTTGGTTTTTAACATCAGCATCAAATTATTGATCTTGCCTTAGTGTTCTCCCACCACAGGTTTTCTTTAAAGCCATTATAAACCTTCCTACCTGCATGAGATGTGAAATGATCATGTAGTTCTATGGTTGTTGCTCTGTACATGCAGCTTATAGTAACAGAAAATCTTTACATTTCCATGTCAGCAGTTTGTGTTCAGACATGAGGCATGTAGCATGGCACTGCACATACAATTTCTGTCTGTATTTTGAAAACTTCCAAGGAAGAAATTTCATATTCCACAGTCCCTTTTTCTCAGTATAGTGGTCTGCAGGTAAGAGCTAAACAGTAATTAGATCTGACACAGACACAACAGTAAGGGCAATTAACAGAGAGCTCACCATGCAGCTGGAAGAGCTGTTTCATCACATTAGCACTCCCACATTTGTGATGCAAGGCATGCACTGAACACTCTGTAACCCAAAACAAGAAGTTTCCTATCCCTAGGGACAAGCTCTGTTAATACACGGAGATAGGGGAATCTATCAACCTTGATACTTAAACTGTAGCCATAAAATGTGAGCTCATCAGTACATGGTAAGACTAACAAACAACAAGAAATATAACTTTACTGTACCTGCTTAAAACAATGAAAACGTTGTACGATGCCTTTTAATGCTTTTTATGTGATTTTTTTCAACTATAAATACTCTTTGCTACTTTTATTTATGTAGAAAATGCAGTGCAGAATTCAGCAGCTAGAAAATGAGGTAACTTCAGCGAAAGCAGATGCCAAACAAAAGGGAGAGAAAGCATCACTTTTACAAGAGAAGCTTTTGTCAAGTGTTACAGAAACTGCACTTTCTGAGATGCAAGCTAAAGTTTCTGAAAAAGAGAAACATCTTGAGACCTCCCTAAAAGAAATAAAGGCTCTCCAAGTAAGTGTGTTTCTTTTTAGTCTTAGTGTTGACTCTTTCAAGAGTTCTGGGCAGTTTTATTTGATGTGAATTAATGATCAAAGTGGAAGTGACATTTCAAACGGTTTAGTGCGAATCCCCTTCCATAGCCCACAACCACTGAGTAATATGGCTGTCCCAAGATACATACTGCATATCTACATACAATGTACATATACTGTACAAGTTATACATGGGGGCGAGATTTTTAAACCATAATTTTGCATTGCACAACCAGAGACACTCACCCTTGCTGTAAGCAGCAGAGACGAGTCATCAGTCGTTAAAGGGCCAGCACTCCTGATTCTAAAAACCGATTCCTAACAATCAGCACAAATCACGCACAAAAATGCATCAAAATGCACATGTAGATGTGATTTTAAAGCTTTTTCCATTGAAGTTTATGGACCACTGAATCACACAAAAAGTAGCACAGGACCCTTCCCCAAAACAACATTGCAGTTGCACTGCATTGATGATGTGAACAGGCACCTTTTTGAAAGCAATGTTTTTTTTTTTCCATTGTCATGAGGTTCAGTACTACCCAAGTCGCATCTGAAATTGCATCAGTGTGAATCAGACCTAGACGGTCATGTAAATCTACTAACAGAATAACTGTGGCTCTCTTAATTTACTAGTCGGGCTGCAAATGGTGCTGACACTCCTTGACTCCTCTAACACTCTTCCTGGAAGCATTGCAATCCAGCTTAATGCTTCTGTGCCCCTTCATTGGCCCTGAATTATTCAGGGGTCAGCTGGGAAAGCATCGCACGATCTGCATGATTGCAGCTGGCAGCAGGAAGAGTGATGTCAGGGCCAGGAAACGGAGTGCAGAGGCATCAGAGTGGAATACAGCTCTTGCGGTAAGTGTTTTAAACTGTGCTGGCACTGTTTTCACCACATTTGTAGCACAAATATAGTTAATAAAGGGAGATACAGCTACTCACATGCATGGGTTAGTGACAGGGCCTCTAAAAAGAAAACCATTGTTTATTAGGATACCTGTTTTTTTTCTTCATTCATAACTAACCGCTTTCATAACTAACCGCTGCTACAGGGCAGCATGTGTGCGCAAAATTACGTATATACACATGATTTTGTATTTCCGGGTAGGGGGCACGTGCCACTATTCACGGCCTCTGCTGGCAATCACCGGGTCCCAGCCAGTGATTACTCATGGCACCCAGTGATCAAGGAGTGTACCGACAGAGGGAGAGAGAGAACTGTAAGTAAACAACACAGTTCTCTCCCCTGTCAGCTCCTGCACACTGCTATGCATGGCTTTGCAAAGCAGAGCCATGCAAAGCAGTGTGCTTACAGTGAAGCGCACACACACAGTAAAACAGCACAGAGCACACAGTTAACCCTTTGATCACCCCATATGTTAACCCCTTCCTGCCCAGTGCCATTAGTAGTGTCAGTGCTTTGTATTAGCACTGATCACTGTATTGGTGTCACTGGAGATGTCAGCGACACAAAGTCAGTCCCCCCCCAGTGTCAGAATGCCCGCTGCAGTTCTGTGATAAGTCGCTGATCACAACCATTACTAGTAAAAATAAAATAAAAATCCCAGTATATGTACCGCCATTTGTAAACGCTATAACTTTCACATAAACCAATTAATTTACACGTATTGGGATTTTTTTTTTTTTTTTTTTAGTAAAGACATGCAGCAGAATACATTTTGGCCTAAATTTATGACGAAATTTGCTTTTTTTAAAAACATTTTTTGCTGGACATGTTTATCCACTTGCCAACCGTGCTATAGCTGAATGACGGCTATAGCATGGTTGTCCAATTCTAGGAGGGCATCTCATGTTGTCACAGCATGAGGAAAGTACTGCTGATAACCGGCAATTGTCAGAGGACGGATCAGCACTGATGATCTGTGCCGCCCACCTGTGCTTAGTAGTGCCCCCCTCCCACCTGTGCCCAGCAGTGCCGTCAGTCAGTGCCACCCAGCAGTGCCGTCAGTTATTGCCGCCTATCAGTGCTGCCTATCAGTAAAGGAGACAATTACCTGTTTGCAAAATTTTATAATAAAAACAAAGAAAAAATTTAATTTTTTTTGTTTATAGCACAAAAAATAAAACACCCAGCTGCGAGTAAATACCACCAAAAGAAAGCTCTATTTGTGTGAAAAAATTATAATGGGTACAGCCTTGCATGGCCGCGCAATTGTCATTCAAAGTGCAACAGCACTGAAAGCTGAAAATTGGCCTGGGCACGAAGGGGGAATTCGTGCCCAGTAGGCAAGTGGTCAATAGTAAAAAGCAAAAAATATTGTTTTGTTTTTATTTTTTCCGCTATAAAAAAACGACAATTTTGAGAAAAAAAAACAAACTGCACAGGCGAGCAAATACCACCGAAAGAAAGCTCTATTCATATGGGGGGAAAAAAGAACTTCAGTTTCCATTGGGTGCAGCGTTGCATGACTGCTCAATTGTCAGTTAAAGTAACGCAGCTCCATAATGCAAAAAATGGCCTGGTCAGGAAGGAGGGTAAATCAGGACGGCTAGTGGTTAAGCTATGGTGGTACAATACTGTACATATTGACAATCTTTAATAGTGCATAGATATACTAATCCGTGTGTTTTACCACACAGGTTATCTGGATATTTACATTGTTGCAAGTTTACGGTGTATGAGCTCTAAACTAGACTAGACGTTATGTTGTTGTACAGCATATGTCTTAACATTTTAAAGCCCAATTTCCACAGAAATATTAAGACTGCCTTTTTTTTCTCCAAAGGAAAAGGTGGCTCAAGGTGCAGCACCATACCAAGATGAACTTGACAGTCTTAAAAATCAAGTAGTAAAGTTTGAAATGGACAGAATAAAGATATCAAAGTCTACAGACCAGCAGTAAGTATATCAGTTTTTATTAAAGTTGCAGCAAATTAACCCCAATTTAAATTGTGCATGTATTACAAATGTTTGCTTAATATAATCATTCAGAAGGATAATTGTAATAAAGAATGCATGTGTGTTTTTTTTCTTTCTGATCCATCGAGGGACTCAAGTCATATTGTTAGGTTATACTGTTGCCTACAGGAGGATTGGACACTGGAAAACCAAAAATCTGTAGGCTAGCCCAGAATCACACCCTTCCTCTACCCAGTGTTCTAGTAGGAAAAAAATCCTTTTTCAGCTCTGCTGGGAAAGGTCTAACAGTATATAGCTAACTTGTTCCTAACCCTCAATTTTTTTCTTCAGTCAAGTTTCTTTGCTACATTGCTGCTTGAGTTGACCTCTACATGGCAACTATCCACATCAGCTTTTCCGCATCCTAGCTTTGGGCAGCTGTTCCCAGACCCCATTGGACTGAAACTGATCTTCAGACACTGGGGTCTGTGTTAGGCATTTTCCAGAACCTGATCTGGTAACAACTTAGCCACAAAGCACATTCCAGGTACAGAGTCACTGGTGTTTTACTCTTGCTCTCTCGGAAGACTCCATGAGTAGGCTGAACAAGCTGAGCACCAGGAGCTATCCTGCTGTTTGCACTGCTGAGCATCTTTGACTTTCCTGCTTTACACTGTCTTTTCCATGAACTGCTGATGTCATCCATCAGATGGAGTGCTCTGCTTTTTCCCATCGCTCATCATAGAGAAAGAATTACCCTACTGCTGTTCCTGCTTATCAAAAGAGCCACGTGGAACTCCAGTGTGGTCCATTACTTGTTTGTCTAAAGTAAAATTGGTCACCTCAGGCCTTTAGACCCACGTCGACTACCAGCTGTCTAAGTGAGTACCTAAGGTCTTTGCCTTGTACCCTGAGCTAGTTGCATCAACCCGAAACATGGTTGCAATATATCTATCTTTACACAGTGGCAATGGGTTACCTCAGCTCACGCTGTCCTAAATATTTTGTGGATATTTACTCTGTACCTTCTGAGGGCATTGATGTCTGTAGTCTGGAATCTTGCTATGCTATAATTACATGGTCTAAATCATATGAACCAGTTTTAGCTCCGTTTGGGTGAGACTGCCTTGTCAGGGGCTTCTATTGCATTCACAAAAGACTGTTCAAATTCACCCACAACCTTGCAGGGTGCTGACCGCAGAGGCTCTAAGTGCACTCCTGTGTTGGTCTCTGATTTTCCCACAGTCTTAAGAGGAAGGGCCTTTTTCCATCCTCAGTCTCACTCTGATGAGATTGTCTTTGAAGTATAGTAAGAGACTGCGGTTCCTCAAATGCTAAAGACCATGTTTGCCCTTTTGTGATGTGACATGCACTACTCTGCAGCATCTCTGAAAAACCCAAGGCTGGAGACATCAGGCTTAACTTTAAAATGCAAAGACCTTTCCACTATGCCTGCTATTCGTGTTTTTCTTCCAACTGGACTCCAAGCACCTTGAAGGGTCCTGGATCCCCACCTGAGTGTGTTCTGGAGTTATTCCTCTTTGATAAGGAATTTGTTTATAGATCTTACCCCCACCTCTGACCGCCACAATGCAGGTAGATACTTTCCTAAGCTCTCAGAAGTTATTGGCATGAAGGGGTCCTCCCCACTCATTTATCCGTGTTTGGGGGGGTTGCTAATCCTTGCAGATCCTTGGTTCTCTTGCCATTCAAGCATCTGGGTGCAGGTTTACAAACTAGTCCCTTGCCTCTTCAGGACATTCAGACGACCTCCTGTGAAGATAGTGGACAGCATTCCTCTGATGGGCTAATTGCTTTTGACATCCAGTTGGGTCAGGTATTGGTGCTGGAAACTGACCCTCATCTGTAGGCGAAATTAACCTTCATGGTTCTTTGGTAGGGGAGGACTTAGCATGTGTGACACCTCATGTCTTCTTCCTCTGCCATTAGCATGCCACTGTGCAACTGTGCAGGTCCTCTTGACAAACAGAGCCCTACTTTTCTGTTCTAAAGGGCTGTTCCTTTCATTCCCTATAAAAACGGAACCTCCTTTTCTCTGTTACCTTTGGCAGGGATAGTTCTGCCTTGGCTCCCCCTTCTTTCTTTTTCTATTTGGGGGCTGAGTATCCTGGAATCCAGTCCTCCTTGCTGCTCTTATTATTGCCTTTAATGAAATTTTCTTCACTTCCAACATCCTGCCAGGTAGCATAACCTATATAATTTTCCCCTCACATAGGGGAAGGTGTAAGCCATTGCATCTACAGCCATTCACCATGTCTTCCCTTGGGACCTGACCCCTCTTCTTTCAGGGAGGTCCCTCCTTGGTATTACTCCCTCTTCTTCGACCTGACTGCGTGGTTATCTTGCCTTTTTTATAGGACTTCTGTCCTTGGATAACAAGTCCATCTTTCACTGAGCAGATTCTCCCATTTTAAGGTCCAGTTCTCGGGCTTATGGAGCATCTAGCATCTGTCGTCCTCGCTTGTTAGAGCCACCATCTGATCTTTTGTTCATGTTTCCTTCCAAACCTGTTTGATTCCCAGGTGGCTATTTGAGTCTCTGCCATCGCTTGCTTCAGCTACAAGGTGCTTCTCCTGTTAACTGTTTGTTCATGTCAGCTGACCCTTTTTCCTATGCCTGGTTTCTGCTGGTGAACAGCCATCGTCTGCGGCTCACGATAAACTCCATCTCTGTAGGAGAGTTCATGACAGCAAGGAGGAACTGTTCCACTGATACATTCTTCCTTGAGAAATGTAAAATCATTAGTCAAAGACTCAGAGATGGAGGATACCCAGACTGGTGTATTGACCGAGACTATAGATTAGTGGAGGCCAAGTCCAGGGGGATAAGTATTTTTGTAGACAATGTTGGAAACCGGGTATGGGTGTGACTTTTGTCTCCTCCTACTCTGTAGAATATCACCAAATTATTGGCATTATCAATAGGAGTTTGCCAATTTTTTTGCATTCCAACCTAGTTCTATATAGAGCGTTGTCGGATGGTGTGATTTTTCTCTAGTCGTCGGGCTCCTGAACGGAATGTTGGTATCTGGTTATCTACTATGGGTTCTTTCAGATGTGGACTGAATACATGCAGATACTGCAGGGTGCATGTGGTTAGAAAGAGCTTTTTTCTTTTGCGACCAATAAGGTTTAATTCATCAGTACATTAATTGTGACTTGACTTATGTTATATATCTCCTTGAATGTACAGCAGGCAAACTCCAGTATATTGGCAGCACTACGCGAGCATTGTGTACTCGTGTTGGGGAGCACTTTTGTAATGGTGGGAACCCCAAAGCACATAATATATTGCAAGCCTCCAGGTGCTTTCAGGAAGTGCATTGAGGGGATCTGAGATAATTTTGCTTTTTGTGGTATCGAGATAATTAAATCTAGCATTAGAGAGGGCAATAGGCATAGAAGACTTTGAGTGAGGTGTGGTGGATATTTGACCTGCACCCTGAGTGGTTTGAACCATAGGTGGGACATGGATCTGTACCTCAGATGAATGGTCTATTTTAAGTCCACATTTTATCCACTGATTTTGTTTTTTTTTTTCTTTATTTCATCTATATAATGTCATTGATTCTAGGTGTGCTCTGATGCAATGTTTTTCTATGAAGGGATGTTTGAAGTGGGCTTGTACATATTGTGTTTTCCCACTTCCATGCAATATCTCTGTTTAATGCTGTGGCTTGTGTTTTTTTTATATTTGTTTTTACTTTTTTTTTTTTTTTTTTTTCATTTATGTGTGTCCAATATGTGCTTTTGCCTTCAATTGGAGTCAGCAATTGAACTGGGGGGGGGGGGGGGGGGATGTTTTTTAATTACACACTTGAGTATTGAGTACTATTTAAACTGTTCATTGTTAGTATGTGTCAGTCATGCTTAGGGCCATAATTGGCAAAAAACGCATTGCCATCTTGTGGCTGTTATTATGCACACCTGTTGAATAATGTCCGTGTTTGCGGAGATTATATCATGGTGCTGGCTTTCTATGATGGGTTGTTGCCCATCCCTCAATATATTGCTTGGGGACATCCCATGGTCTATGAATCCATTTCTGTGTACAGTACTGTATTATAAAAATAGGAATTTTGACATACAATACCTGTAAATTCCATTCCTGGAATACAGTACAGAACACAGGTTCCTTCAGTCAACTGAACGCAACAACATATAACCTGTACTCCAAGAATTTATAAGTGGAATTTAAAAAAAAATATATATGTAATAGTTTTTGTTGTGGGGTGTATTCATTTTTCATCAACAAATTTTGAGCAAAACTGAAGATTTTGTAATCCAAGTTGTAAATATTAACCTTACTTTTGTGTAATGAGCTAAACAAATGTTCTATAAAACTCAGTTTTGTCAAAATTTTGGAAATTGTCCTTGTGTTGATTGAGATGTTTATTAAAATCTTACTTTTCAAAAGGTAGGTGTGTGTGTGTGTGTGTGTGTGTGTGTGTGTGTGTTTTTTTTTGCACAACATAAAATAGTTTTCTTGGAGTTCATTGATTCATCAGAAATACTGCTACAGGGCAGCACAGGTGCGCAAAATCACATGTGTATATATACATGGTTTTACAATTCCTGGAAAGGGGCGCATGCAAGCTCTACGCACGCCACTATTCCTCTCTGACGGGAAGGAGAACTGTTCTGTTTACTAACCGTTCTCCTCCCTGTCAGCTCAGGCCATCCAAAGCAGTGTGATTACAGTGAAGCACACTAACACAGCTCCCTAGTAAAACACTCCCAGCACACAGTTGACCCACCTCATGTTAACCCCTTGCTGCCCAGTGCCATTATACTAGTACAGTGTGTCAGTGCTTTTTTTTTTTTAGCACTGATCACTATATTGGTGTCACTGAGGATGTCAGTGACACCAAGTCAGTTCCCCCCCAGTGTCAGAATGTCTGCCGCAGTCCCGCTATAAGTCGCTGATCGCTGTCCTTGCTAGTAAACCTTAAAAAAAAAAATCCCAGTATATTTACCGCCATTTGTAAACACTATAACTGTCACGTAAACCAATTAATTTACACATATTGGGATTTTTTTTTTGTAGCAGAATACATTTTTTTTTAACTTCTTTACTGGGCATGTTTAATACCAAAAGTCAAAAATATATATATTATTTTTTTTTTCTCCAAAATTTTGTGGGTTTTTTTTTTTTTTTTTTTTTTTTTTTTTTTTTCATTTGGATGCAGCGTTGCATGACTGCACAATTGGCAGTTAAAGTAACGCAACGCCATAACGCAAATAATAGCCTGGTCAGGAATGGGGGTAAATCTTCTGGAGGGCAAGTGATAAAACACTCAGGTCTCAACATGCTCTTGGTACTGTTTGCTACAAATGGAGGCACGCTGGATAAAAAAGATGTAATTCATATTTTATTTGCCAATGTCTAATCTTCCTATAGTTGGCAATATAATCAAACAGTATGATTTCTTGTGAAAAAGGTTTTACATTGAGTACAAAAATCCTATTTTCTTTTTATTTCATCTCATAATATTACTTTTTTTTTCTTGATACAGCATAGCTTCCTTAAAGTCTTGTCTTGAATACAAGGAAGAATGCTTAAGGAAGTTGAAAGAACAACTCAGAAGATCACAAAAAGATACTGATACTACCAGTACGTAAGAATATATATATATATATATTTTAAACTGTTTATTGAGCTAAGAGAATACTTCTTTTTACAGAATCTTTACATATGTGACAATAGTATCCACGGCTAAAATGAGTCCCGTGGAATTATTTTGCAAATCTACAAAAGAAAAGCTGGTCAGAATATAGATGGGACCACTTAGAGGGAAGGACCCAAGTGATTGATTTTACACTTCTGTGTACTATGGTATGGCTAGCAAAGTGTATTATTCAGGTTGTTGGTGAATGTTGGCTAACCACTAGATCCCAGATTTTCTGATATTTAGGAGGGGGGTTTGAGTAATCATATTTTTTCCAAGATGGCGTCCGGAGCGGCCGCATGATCGCCAGCTCCGGCAGCGGGCTCTGGAACCCCACCAGAGGTCCTGCCGACACCCTGAGGGGTGCTTGGGCGCTCAATCCCTCCGGCAGAGTTTCGACGACCTGTGGCATACCGCGGCCTGTGAAGCCACGGTCTTTCCTGCTGGCCGCTGCGACGAACCGAGACGCCGCTGCTCTTCTCCAGTGAGAGGGGGAAGCAGCCATCACCCCCACCGAAGCTGCCACCACCAACACAGGTACCCAGGGAAGGCACCGCCACAGGGAGGGAGAGCCCCTACCTCCTGCTCCCATCTATCCTGCCTACACACTAACACTAACAGGGAAAGCCATCAGCTCCTGTCCTGCCTACACCATTAGGGGATGCCACCAGCACCGCATCCGCCAACCCTCATCCTTCTACCTGTGACTTCCACCTGGACCCTTAACCCAGCAAAGCAAGTCTCCGCAAGAGCACGCGCACCCTCCCTCAAGATACAGCCACACAACGCTCCTGATCCAACCACTCACGCCGACCCCAACCCAGATTTACCCAAAGGACAAGAAACAGCCGCACAACGCTCCAGATCCGACCACCCTGAGACCACTCACACCGACCCCAGCTCAACTTGACTTAAAGACTAGAACCCTAGATGTAAGACACCACAACGAGAAACCCCACTGCACGCCAGACTGTCTAAAACCAAGCACCCCTGGCAACCATCCATCCACACCCGATCCCCTCTCCCTACTCCCCTAAACTCCAGCTACCGGAAGGCACAGCAACGAGATACGCCACTGCACACTGGACTATCGGCAGCCAAACCTCCCACCACTCCTGTCCGCCACCCCGTGCACCTCCTTAAAATGCCTCTTCCACTCCTCCTTCTCATATTCCTCTCCTCCGTTCCCAAAATCTATTCTCTATACCCCTCTGCTCCTCCCAAACAACTGTATATTGTGTCCTCACTGCTTCCTTCACCCCTCTACAGCACCCACCACCTTCTCCCACTGACCCGAACACCTCCACTGGTAAACTTATGCGCTCCTGCACATCCCGCTCCCATGCCACCTTTCTCACCCTTCTTCTCCTAACTGTGGGAGACATCTCCCCGAACCCTGGCCCTCCACCATCTCGCTCACCCACACAGCACCCTCCCACTTCCAAGTCCTGCCGCAACCCCCTCAACCTAGTATCTGTCCCCCTGCTCCCTAAAACCCCCCCCCCCCCCCCCCCGTTTTCGTGTGCACTCCTGAACACCCGATCGGTGTGCAACAAGCTCACCGGCATCCACAACTTCTTTGTTTCCCGCTCCCTCAACCTCCTTGCGATCACGGAAACCTGAATCTAGGCCACTGACTCTACCTCCCCTGCTGCACTCTCCTATGGAGGTCTCATCTGGACCCACTCACCCAGACCCAACGGTCGTAAAGGTGGTGGGGTTGGTCTGCTCCTGTCACCGCAGAGCACCTTCCAAGTCCTCCCAAACCCCCCCTCTCTATGCTTCTCCTTCGAGGCCCACTGCATCCGACTATTCTCCCCAACCCCCCTGAAGACAGCCTCCTAGACCCGTATCCTGCTTCCTTGATGACTTTTCCGCCTGGCTACCCTTCTTTCTCTCCTCCGAGCTACCCACAATCATCCTTGGGGATTTCAACATCCCTGTCAACATCGACAACCCGGCCACATCCCAACTCCTCAACTTAACCTCCTCCTTTGCACTCGCACAGTGCATACAATCCAGCACCCACTCCGATGGAAATATCCTGGACCTTGTCTTCTCCCACCTCTGTGCTCCCCACAACCTCACAAACACCTCCTTCCCTCTTTCTGACCACAACCTTATTACCTTCACTGTCTCCTCATCCTCCAACACCTACCCCTCCAAGTGTCATACTACTACCAGCCGAAACCTCTGCAACCTGGACCCTGCCCCCCTCCACTCTGCAGCTGATCAACTCCACGACAGCATCCTCCCCCTGTCCTGCCCCGACCTGGCTATGACTGCCTATAACAACTCACTGTCAACCGCCTTTGACTCACTAGTGCCTTTAATCACACGAAACATCAGACCCCGACCGCTCCAGCCCTGGCAGACTGATCACACCAAAACTGGAGCGACTATGGCGCAAAACCAGATCCCAACAAGCCTTCACCCACTATAAATCTGCCTTCCACACCTACACCTCCTCCCTCCACACTGCCAAACATGCCTACTTCCTGACCCTCATCAAGACCCTCTCCTCCAATCCTCGCCGACTCTTCACCACCTTTAACTCTCTGTTCTCTCCCCCCCCCACCTCCACCCAGCACCTCACTCACCGCCCTTGAGATTGCCAATAACTTCAAAAACAAGATTTACACAATTCGCAGGGACATCGCCGCTGCTCAAACTCCCTCCAAACCCGTCCCCTCTCACACAGCTACCCCCTCATCACCCCTCGGCCTCGCCACTGCTCTGACCTCCATCCCACCTAACATTCCTCACACTGAAGCCCCCTCAACACTCCACACCTTCGACCTTACTACCATCGAGGAGGTCACCAAGGTCTTCTCTGATGCCCGTCTCACCACCTGCCCCCTCCACCCTATCCCCTCACAACTCCTACGACCTCCCTCCCCCTCCATCCTACGCTCCCTCACCCACATCTTTAATCTCTCCCTCTCTTCGGCGCATTCCCCTCCCCTCTAAAGCACGCGCACATCACTCCCATACTTAAAAAGCCCTCCCTGGACCCCAATGACCCGAACAACCTCAGACCCATCTCCCTGCTCCCATTCACATCCAAACTCGAGCGCTTAGTCTACAATCGCCTAAGCTCTCACCTCAACGACAACAACCTCCTCCTCGATCCCCTACAGTCCGGCTTCCTTCCCCTACACTCCAGCAAAAGTGCCTTACTCAAACTCTCCAACGACCTTATAACCACCAAAGCTAATGGCCACTATTCAGTGCTCCTACTCCTCAACCTCTCCGTGGCCTTCGACACAGTCGACCACCCCCCTCCTCCTCAAAAAAAACTACACTCCCTCGGCCTCAGAGATTCCGCTCTCTCCTGGTTCTCGTCCTACCTATCACAACGCTCCTTCAGCGTTGGCTATAACGCTACCACCTCCCCCTCACTCCCCCTCTCTGTTGGGGTCCCTCAAGGTTCTGTCCTCGGGCCCCTTCTCGTCTCCATCTATACCTCCTTCCTTGGCCAGCTCATACGCTCTCATGGCTTCAACTACCACCTCTATGCTGATGATACATAAATCTATCACTCAACCACTCGCCTCACCCCCTCAGTCTCTGCCCGAATCACAAACCTACTAAACGACATATCAAACTGGATGTTGCTCCACTTCCTTGAACTGAACCTCTCCAAAACCGAGCTCCTAGTCTTCCCCCCTAGCCCGCACACCACCCCCTAATGACTTCTCCATCACGTCCAACAATGCCACTATCGGGCCCGCCCCGCAGGCCAGAGTACTTGGTGTCATTCTGGACTCCAACCTATCCTTCCAGCCCCAAGTCCAATCACTAACAAACTCATGCAGACTCCACCTCCGCAACATCGCCAAAATCCGCACGTTCCTAACCCCAGAAACCACTAAACAGCTCATCCACTCCCTCATCATATCATGACTGGACTACTGCAACTCCCCTCACTGGCCTGCCTGGCTACAGGCTATCCCCGCTTCAGTCGATCCTGAATACGGCAGCCAGACTCATTCACCTTACCAACCGCTCCGTTTCCGCCACCCCCCTCTGCCAATCCCTCCACTGGCTTCTGATTGCACAACTGATCAAATTCAAAATCCTAACACTGATGTACAAAGCTGTCCATCATTCTGCCCCAAATTACATCACCAACCTAATATCCAAGTACCACCCAACACACACACTCCGCTCCTCACAAGACCTCCTTCTCTCTAGTTCCCTGGTCTCCTCCCATGCACGCCTCCAGGATTTCTCCAGGGCGTCACCCATCCTCTGGAACTCCCTACCCCAATCCATCAGACTATCACCTACTCTCCTCACCTTTAGACGCACCCTGAAAACCCACCTCTTCAGGGAAGCCTACCCCACCCCCTGCTAATTGCCGACTTCCACTCCTCCTACCACTCCATTCCCCACAGCTATCTCCTCCTGTACCACTATCCCCTCCCTCCTAGTTTGTAAGCTCGAAGGAGCAGGGCCCTCGAACCCCTCGTGTATCACATTGTGTTGTTATTGTACTGTCGCATGTTCTGTCTCCCTTTGTAATGTACAGTGCTGAGCGAACTGTTGGCGCTTTATAAATGCTGTATTATAATAATAAATAACCACAGGGAAGAACTTTATTAGGTAAAGTAGATCAGTCAAATGCTAACTATACCCTTACCTGCTCCCACCCCATTTATAAGCCCTATACTAACTAACCTGTAAAGAAAAGATACCTATACTTGCCTATTCTGACTCCGGTCTGGTCACATGATAGCCACCCCCCCCCCCCCCCCCCCTCCCAGGAGCAGGTTTAAGTATAGTTAGTGTTTTACTGGACTTCCATTTTAATGAAAGCCATTGGGCCACCATGGGAGGGGGTGGGGGTGATTGCAGTCATCTTGCGGACCCTAAATAAGGATTACCTTACAAAACTCTGGTATATTGTGGCCACTGCTCTTCATATGCCTAGTATACAGAG